TTCCAATTCCTGAGAGAACAGTAGGGCCCATCATTTAGATTCTGCAGTGATACACACACAGATTGCTTTATGAGGCTCAATAGAGGTCCCAAAACATCATGAATCAAAACCAGATTGCTTTATGAGGCTCAATAGAGGCCCCAAAACGTCATGAATCAAAATGAATAGAAGACTTCAAAGCTTCTCTACAAAAGCTAAACCAGACTTCAGTTCCATGTTAACTAGCCAAATTCAGACTAGCTCCAGGCAGAGCCAACTCCAGTGCCCCTAAACACTGATACACTGACTGGAGAACTCTAGACAAAAAGCAGAGGATGGTGGATTACAAATGCAAGCTTTAAGTGACTCGATAATACAGTACAGGGATATTGTTAGATACCTTTATGCATAATTTTATATACACACACATGTATATGTACATGTACTATGTACAGAGTTTCATTAAAAGCTTATTTAGAACACATTGTGTCCTGCAAATTAACCCAGTGAAAATTAAAGAACCTGTTCATCTAAAAAGAACAGAGTACATCTGTCTGTATCATTGGCAGGTACTAGACCAGTTGGGTCTGGGGCCATTTGCCAAAGACAGTCATCCTGTCCCCAGTGCCATTGCTGTCACAAATTATTTAGACTAATATGTAGCAACTGATACAGCAAGGACATAACTTATAAATGAGAAGGGCAAGTATTTGTGCTTCATGAAAGCCTGAAGAGGAGCTTGATTTAGCATCCTGGTAAGAAAACAAAACCTGCTGGAACAGCTGGACAGCAGTGTTCCTTTCTGTGCAACCTATCCATCCACTCACTTGCAACAGCTGTTTCACTGATTCACCTATACACCTGCCTGGAAAGCCTGAACTACAGTTTCAAGCTAAAACCAACCAGATAGGTAGGTTTCAAAGCCTCAATTGTTGCAGTACTTTTCCCCACCTGTACTTGAACTCACAGCAATACTCCAAGCAAAGGACAAATGTAAAGGCCAGAGTATTTGCTTTTACAGTTACAGCCATTGCTTTTTTTTTTCTAAAGGAGGAGACGATCTGCCAGAAGATATTTTAAACAAATGTCTTAAAACTCACCTAAGAGGCAACACATCTTTATGACTGGCAAATCTATTCAAGAAGCCTGAGTACCTCTAACATCACAAGGTATTTGTACCATTTTCTCCCCCTGGCATAGTTTAAAAACTGTATATGCTTCAATGAAAGACACTGAATTGTTCTACATCCTTTCAAAAGGTATTTCAAGAGCAGTGACTGCAAGAATGAGTCAGAAAAACGTGTGGGTTTTTTTTTTTTTTTGCTAGCAGTCCTCCTTCTACTAAAAATATAAACTTTAGGTTGACTCAGTCCAGCAAACTTTCATGAGGCCTATGGGTTTTTTAACCTCTTCTCCATCTCAGTATACTAATAAAGAGACTCAAAAGACCTTCAAAGCAACATATTAGGACTAAAAAGATAGCCCAGTTTATTTCAAGTGAAGTATTTCAGATTTCCAGAAAATCCTCATTTCCTGATGTAGTTTAGCTTTAGTGCTTTTATACAATCCTCTTTTGCAAGGCATCAAGTCCATTTCTGAGACATAACTCCCCGTATTTATGGTACAGAAAGTCTACAACCTAATACTCAAAGCTATTAACAAAAAAGCGAAACCAGAACATTCTTATTAAAACTACTACTGATAGCTAAGTAGCAGAACCAAAGGGCTATTCTTCAGGGAAGTTGCACAGAACTACATTTTCAATACAAACCAAAAGATGCTACTTTTGAGTTCACATGTGTCAGAACAAAACAAGGGTTCATACTCCAAGTTTGTCTTTTAAAAGTACATGAGTTAATAAGAATTTTCATTTTAGGACTTGCACAGCATAAGCATATTACAGATATGTACAGTGTCTAAGGACCTGAAGCGTACGGCAGGTAAAAACCCTCAGGTTGTTCAAATGAGAAACTGAAAAACGAATTGAAACATTTCAGTTTACACAAGACACTTAAAATAGTTTCTGTATGGAATTACGGATAAAATTAAGAAGAAAGTACCTCCTGTCCAGTAAGAAAGAGTAAGAGATCTCCCTCCTCTTCTTCACACATGTGAATTTGGATCACTGTTCGAATGGCAGCCTCAAGGTAGTCCCTTTCTGGCTCTGGAGTGTAGAATATCTCCACAGGGTGGGTGCGACCCGGGATAGTTAGCAGAGGACAGTTGTCAAAATAGATCTGAAACTTGCCAGCATCTAAAGTAGCACTCATAACTATGACCTGTAGGTTTGGAGGGAAGAAAACCCCAAAAACATTACCCCAAAGGTTAATAATAATTTGTGACATGTTATGCAAGCAATAGGTAACAGCAAAAAAGCAAACAACTGCTGACTGATTTAGGCATGCTGTTATCACCTGAATACAGTGCCCTTGTTACAAAGGTCCAAAAATATTCCTAGTCAAATACATAAGGTTAAGCTACAATTACACTGTTTCTAGAAATTTCCTGTATACAAACCACATTAAGAATCTCCTAGGGTCATCCTTTCAAAACAGATTATCACAGATCAAAAAACAATTCTAAAAACCAGCTGATGGTAAGCACACAGACACCTTATCTAGTATGCTGCAATGAGAAAGGAGAGGCTGTTGGACCTCACCATTACTGACCTTCAAATCAGATCTTTGCCTTACAACTTCCTTCAGAACTCCCATCAAGATGTCTGTAGCCAGTGTTCTCTCATGGGCCTCGTCAAGGATGATCACACCGTAACGCTCCAGCAAAGGGTCATTCATGGCCTCACGCAGCAACATCCCATCAGTCATGTACCTGAACACAAACAATTGCAGCAGACATTTTGGTTAGTAAGTCTAACACAGAAACCTCTTCTGTATCATTCACTAGGTCGCTTGATCTAACCTTTTAATCAACTCTTTAAAAACAGAACCATCAGCAAGCTATTTTCAACTAGGTAATAAGCCCATTTCAAATTTTCAAATAGAAATTTAGCTTGTAAGTGAAATCTGGGATTGCAGGGGAGAGCATAAAAAAAGGGGGGGGAACAAGGTTTAGCAATATTGCAGGGGAGAGCATAAAAAAAGGGGTGGAACAAGGTTTAGCAACATTTATAACTAGTTTGTAGTCTATTACTGGCAGACTTCCACACCTACAGTCAGACAGGAAAAGAAAGGGGAAAACACCCCCTGAAATCCTAGAAATAGTTTCTGTAATTGTTGCTCCCCTTTGCAGATCACGTTCACTTTTTGCTCTTCTGCCTCAGCTAAATATCTTTTTTACAACCCTTCATCATTCCCAACCCTCCCTCAATTTGAATGAGCGAAAGAGAAGACATCTTTTGAACAAAAAGCTCTGTGTAGCAATGTGATGTTGTTAACTGAGGATTGTGAATGTCATCCTCAAATGACGCATTAAGTGTGTCTGGTTCCACCTACACAGCACAGGAGCCTAGAGCAGATGACAACTAAAATGCTACATGTCCCAGAGCCAGGTGTAGGCCAGTTCTGAAACTCTGGATGGTTCTCCTTACTGAAATAAGCTACTGAATTTCACCCAAAGCACCCTGAGTAGGAAGATAGCACAGACAAACATCAGCTGAATGCAGAACACGAAGACAAACTGCATGCTGAAGGGCTTTACTCTGAATAGCACCTTCATCATAAAACATTTCTTTAGATCACCTTCTGTACTGATAATTTAAAAATACTTCCACAGGATGCAGTGATTTCTTTAGGAGGAATGAATCATTTCCAGCTCTACTCAAGCCCCACTCCTCAGGCTTCTCTCAGCTCACACTATGGCTCCTTTTCTCTCTTCCCCATTCAGACACAAAGTACTGTCCAGAGATCATTCTCTTCCTTATTACTCCTCTCACAGCTTTGCTCACACCCTTCACTACCCTGCAATTCCCCCAACGCCAAGAAGGCTGTGTACACCTTTACCTGAGGAGTTGCCATACTTACTTCAAAATGGTTTTTGCACTGCTGCAGTCTTCAAATCGAATGGAGTAGCCAACCTCCTGGCCCAGCATGACATCCATCTCATCAGCCACACGCTGTGCCACGCTCATGGCAGCCACTCGCCGGGGCTGGGTACACGCCACTCCCCTCTTGGGGCCTGGCAGTGAGCGCATGTAGTCCACACACCACTGAGGGATCTGTCAAGAACAAAATCCAGTTAGAAACACTTCAAATGGCCACATGAAATCTGTAACCTTAGCACTGTATCACAAGTTGGTCAGATTCTACTGAGATGTCAACTGCACGCCCAAAAACATTCAAAGCAGGAGAGCAGAGACTCATAGCTGGACTCAAGGCTACTAAATCAAGCACACTCACGTGAGGCATGTAGGCAACTATCCTTGAAGTTACCAAGGAAAATCATAAGTTCACAGCACATCCAAGCACTGTTAGATCAGTACCTTATACAGATACTTAGCAGCAGCCAACATGCTCCAAAGCAACCAAAACTAAATCTAACACACTCAGAATTGGAGATCCATAGCAGTCTGTTGCTTTAAGGTTTTCAGCAAGCGAATCCTATTTTGTGTCTGTAAAAAGTAATGCTTATTAACACATTTAAGCAAAACCAATTATTTTAGTGATACAGCCTTAGCCAGGAAGCACAACAAGTAAAATGAAAAATTATGTTCATTAGGTTGTTACTCTTTTGAAATTTCATCAAGCAGGTATGAAACCACTATTCTTTCCTTCCTATGTCAGCACTCATTTTATTTGTCAGCAGTTTTCTGCTCCTGTGTTAGGAATCTGGAAAGACTAAGAATTATCCAAAATAAGAAGTTTTATTCTGAAGAATTTCTAAAGTCAGTAACAGCTTGATGAAGACAGAATATTCTCAACATTTTCTCAGTGTGACGCTTTAAGAGTAGACATCTCCAGACACAACCAGTTCCGAGCCTATTGACCAAAAAAACCCTACTCCTTCCTAGTAATTACTTCTCAAGTATTCTTAAAAGCTCACACAGGAAAAGACAACAAACCATTTACATGTGGTACCAATGAGGATTAACAGGGAAAGCAGTATAATTTAGACCACGAAAATTCTTCTTCTGGAGTAACTGCATTACACAGCAAAATGGGCATAAGGGAACACTAGAACATAGCCAAAAACTGACAAGGCATCTAGCAGTAGGACAAGAGGGCACAGACTCAAGCTCTGCCAGGGGAGGTTTAGGTTGGATATTAATCAGAGATTTTTTACAGAGAGAGAGTAATCAGATATTGGAATGTGCTGCCCAGGGAGGTGGTGGATTCACCATCCCTGGCGGTTTTCAAGATGAGACTGGATGTGGCACTTTGTGCCACGGTTTAATAACGACAGTAGGGTTGGACTCAATCCTTGAGGTCTCTTCTGACCAGGTTGATTCTATGATTCTATGAAGTGTGGCCTAATGCATTTTTTTAATGGAGAACATACATCCACTATAAATATATGAAAAATAAAGCAGAGATGCTAAAAATATGACAGAAAACTATTAGACTTGTTGTGAAGAACTCAAGTTTCTGAAAACCCTATTCAAAACTAAAAATAGTAACATTCTTGACCAATAACAGCAACATGAAACCCTATTCTCTAACATATACATGGCTCCCCTAATATGCACTGTAGAGAAAGGAATTTGCTTCCCAAGCCACTAGTAACAGCTCAAATCTAAACTTATTAGGTGAAGCTTCTTGACTTTAAACAGAGCAAGTCCTGAAATACATTTTCAAGCAGCAGGTCTGTCAGGCCACAGCAGCATCAAATAAAAGCAATTTAAAAGTGGTTTTCCAGTAAACAGCAAAACCTTCAGCACTGGTGTCAAATGAAAGAAAAGGGCTACATAGACTTCAATGTGCTAAGCTGATTTAGACAACCACCCAAATACTTTTCCTTCCCAGCTTTCAAAGACATACGAGCACTGGGAAAAAGGACCATGCTGCACTGCATTTTCTATTTCAGGCTACTGAAGTAACTACTTACAGACTCTCAAATGAAGAGAGATGCTACTCTACCATTTTTTCCACAAAGTGAAATTATTATACCAGCAGCACACATGATCCCATGTTTAAAAGGGAGCACATGCAGCAATTACAGTAGGTAATTAACCTCTTTCTAAGAGAAATGTGGCACACCCATTCCACCTCAGAGCCTCAGCTGAGCACGTTTAAAGAAAACAGTTAACTTAGAAGGTGAACTTTAAATTACTAATGAGCCATTGCAAATAACAAAGAATTAAAAATTAACATCTTAGCTCCCAATACACTTCTCCAGTCCTTTGGGGTTTAAGTCTATGTGGAACAAGTGAGAAAAGTTTCACCTTATTTCCACTGTCCAAGCCAAATGTTTCCAAACCTGGGTGTTCTATGAGGCTCAAGAGAAAATGTGCACATAATCATACAATCACAGAATGGCTTGGGATGGAAGGGACCTTAAACATCACCTGGTTCCAACCCTCATGCCATGGGGAGGGATGACACACTAGACCAGGCTGCTCAAAGCTCCACTCAACCTGGCCTTGAACACTCCCAGGTTTGGGGCATTCACAACTTCTCCACACAACCTGTTCCAGCATCTCACCACACTCACAGAGAAAAATTTCATACTGACATCTGATCTACATCTCCCCTCTTTCAGTTGAAAAGGAACTTACCCTTTTCCTATCACCACCTGTCTATACTAAAAAATCACTCTCCATCTTTCTGGTAAGCTCCCTTTAGGTACTGAAAGGCTTCAACTAGGCCTCCCCAGAGCCTTCTCTTCTCCAGGCTGAACAGTCCCAACTCTCTCAGTTTGTCTTCATAGGAGAGGTGCAGATAATAACCAGGGAAGGGACTTGACAGGCAGCAGCTCTCTATCAAAAAAGATTACCTATATAGCCACCTTCAATTGCCATTAAAAGGAAGATAATAATTTTGGAAATAATTATTTTTCAAATGATGCTTGTTTTTATTGGTATAAAGTTGGCATATAACACCTACATTTTGAGCATCAGAGGATTTCTCAACTGCAGAAAATTACTTAACTTGCTCTGATTAGTGAGTATAAGAAGACAAAAAAACAACCACTCCCTAACTGGTTTCAAGACAGCAGCTGATCACAAAAAGGATGTGACACTATCACACGCAAAACAGGTTTTATTAAGTGGCAGCAGGATAATCTTCAGGGATATGTTCCTACAGAGAAACTCAATTGTTTCAAAATGCATCTGCAATCTCACAGAAAGAATTCAGAGGAAGCAGGGAAGCTTCCAAGACAGCTTATGTGCTTTTCATAGCCTAAATCCCATTTTTAGGAAAGATGTCACAGGTTTCTTAAGTCCTTTCAGAAAGTAAGGGCTAAAATGAGTAAGGTAATTCAGGAAAAGCTTTATGCCTCTGGAATGACATGACAGTAAGATGCATTTGAAATATAAAAGTCATAGATGTTAGGAACACATACCCCTTATATCTTCACATTTTCAGATCATGCAACAAGTAATCTTGTTTTCATATAGCTTAAGTATCATTTTTAAATATAAATATTCAGAATATTGTATCTTCCAAGTAACTACATAATCAAACGTCTCTGACAAATTCTATAAAATCCTGGTCTCAGCTTAAACATTTTTTAAAAAGCAACACAGATAATGTTCTAATAAAGCCTTCTAAAAAAGACACTGGCTCCTAAAATGTGCGGCAAGAAAGGGCATATCACTTCAGATACCTTTTATACCAGTGCCTGAAGTATCCAGTGTACAACTGTGCCCTTCACATTTTCTTAACATCCAAAATTTATGACTACAAATTTACTTTGTCCGTAAGACTTACTGCAAGTTAGCTATAATCCATTTTACGAAGCCTAAAACATCCTTCAGTAGTTATTTTCTGCCTAGATAAAAGGAATTTATCAGATTATAGAATAAAGAACTTCTTTACATCATTTTTCCACACAGACTGTAAACAGCAAACCAGAGGACAGTTTTGAGCAAGTTTGTCCTACTAGAAATACACAGGTGTGCTTCTATCTTAGATCTTCCCTGTTTACTGATCCCCAAAATTCTTCAGGGCTAAAGAGGCTCTGCAGATCTGTTATCACTATTTTCAGTGCTGAGTAAGACTTTAAAAGGCATGAATTTACAAGAAAAGAAAAAGGGATTTTTGACTGCAGCACTGTAAAGCTCTATGACCCTTGAGAAGTTTCAGTACCAAGGAAACACAAATCTCTACCTCTCAAGTTAGAGTATCACCATAACACATGATCCAACCAGATAATGTCAGAATTGTATCTGACATTTCAATTCCTTTAAGTTCGTACCTGTAGCAGTTTCATAAAACACTAACAAGTCTCTATTTTCCAGCTACTATCTACAGAAACAGCTAAATAAACTATTTGGAAGCACCACTTCAGTTTGTGAATTAGTACTCCTGTGCCACTAAATCTCCTTATCTTTCTCTACCAAACAGATACTACCAAGCACAAAACCTAACAGAAGCAGAGGCCGTGGAACAGTACTGGATTGCAAAGGGGGAAGATGCTTAAGATTCTTCTCACTTTTGCATGCACTAATCAAATAAAACATTCATCAAATTAGTTTTGCTGACAGTTTGAGAGGTATTCTTACACAAATGATTTCAAGAAACCAAAGCAAGTTTCACACATACACTCTTAGCAACAGGTTCAACCTTTAACAATGGAGTATCATATAAATAAGAACCCACCTGTGTTGTTTTACCAGACCCAGTCTCTCCCACCAGCACAAATGACTGATGCCTAATCAAAATATCTGTAAATCTTTCTTTATATTCCCAGACAGGAAGCTGCAGCCTTTTTTTCAGGATGTCGTAATAGCGTGGCGTGTGTGGCAGATTGGTGAAAGGGTTAATACTGTGTGGAATCATGGCTGGTTTTATAGCTGGCAACCCAGCAGCTGCATAATATGTAGAGTTGGATGTAGGCCGCAGATCTTTCTCCTTGTCCCTTTCTCTGTCACGATCTCTATCTCTGTCACGGTCCCTGTCGCGATCTTTGGAACGGTCATCGCGGTCCCTGTCCCGGTCACGATCCTTCCTAAAATGAGTTAAGAGACACGGCAAGAAATGAGATACTTGAATATTTCATGCAGGAGGAATTTAAATACAACTCAACTCTCAAGGTATCCAGTGTACAGTGGATACAAACCAAATCTTTCCAAAAGCCTTGCAGAGAGTACCTGGAAGGATAAGGACCAGAAGGTAACAGTATATGGCGCACGCTCAACATGAAATATACATTGCTACACTCACTGCACCTAAACACTGCCACAGCTCCTCTCATTACAGCAAGGCTGAAGAAAGCTATCACATGGAGAGAGGATCATTTTAACCTCTATAAAGAACCAGTTGTACATTCTAGACTTCTCACAGTTCTTACCAGCCCTACTTGCTGTTCCAGAAAAATAAGAGAACACTGCCCTACTTGCTGTTCCAGAAAAATAAGCGAACACTAAAAAGTCTTTTTCTCCTACCTACCAAAGGAATTATGCTCACCCATCAAAAAACATAATAAATGGAAAAAAGTTTGATTTCATATCCCACAATTACTTTATAGCTTTTTTTCTTTAGAGTCTTACATACAATTCTGACTCAATTAACTTTGATACTCAGGTTGCCAAGCCTGGACTTAAATCCAGCCACTACAGCTCGGAGTCAGAATAATTTAGGCTGGAAACGATCCTTAAGTCCATGGAGTCTAACTATTAATCTTACACTACCAAGCTGTACCATCTTCTCCAGTATCCCCTCCTACCATGCACTTAGACAGCATTTATGTATTCCTATTTGTTCTAAATGTTAAGTTTAAAAAATATTCACTGCATTTTGAAAATAATACTATTTTTCTTTTGCATCTCTGGTCTTGATGAGAGTTTCTCAGTTTGCAAGTCCATGTACTTGTTCTTCTGCCTAATTTACTCATTCTACAAATATACACTTGCAAAAATTCCCTAGTTTGACCCAAAAAAGCTACAGCTGCATGCTTTTAATAAAAAATCCTAATTCAGGACTTGGAAATAAGCCCTGCTTTACAAAAACACACTACTACATTTTAAACTGGCCTAAGTTAAAAGATTAGTGGCACATTTGCCTGCAAAACTGAGGATATTCTCAGCTTCAGCTCCTTCTACTCAAATCCCATCAAAAAGGTGAAGCAACAACTAAGCCAATACCAGTTTTATAGCAAGTGCGCACAAACATTTCTAGGAATATTAAGATAAACAAAACCTCTCCTCCTTTACCAATGCCCAGGCATGCCTGAAAGTAGAGAGCATGTCCAAAGAAAACTGTTGGCCAACACTCCTCTCCAAACATGCAGCGGGCATTCAAAAGCAACTGCTGAAATAATACCCTAATTCCTACCTACAGAGAAAATATAATAACCAAGATTATATTCATCCTGATTCTACAAATTTTAATTCAAAATGTGCTGCACATGGGAAACAACCACCACTACTGCTCTAGTATAAATGAGTGTAATGTATTCAGGCTATATTTTTTTTCTTCAGCAACTTCAACATATTATGCCCACAGAGGTTGTCACAATAAGATTCTTTTTAAGACAACTTCTTTTAACACAGACCCATTGAAAACACAGAAGGATTACAAAACATACCATTTACTGTCACTTAATTCACTTGTACACAGATTTTCCTGAAGTTCTGGACACTGAATTGTCTAAAAATTAAGTAATGTTTAGAACATTCACTTGAATCTGAGATAGTCTAGCTCTGACATCACTTCTAACACAGTTAAATATTGTACAAGCTAGAAATCTCTTCTTACTCTAAAATATCAGGCAAATGTTGCAGAACCCAATAGGTTCATATTCTCCATGCAGGGAAGTTACCCCAGTTACAAAGTGAAGGAAACAGGAACACTGTGCTACTCTTCATGGAGTAAGAGCCTAACAGCATCTATCAGACAGGAACAGAGCTTTGGACTTGCAATTGATGAGCTATTCACCATCAGACTTCTAAACATCAGCAGCCACTGAGATAAACAAGTCCACAGTCAGTAACATCATCAGGGAGAAATGGAAATAAAGGTAAAAAAACAATTTAAGAACGGTAAAGCTGGGGTAAAATGCAACAACACACTGCACTGAAGGGAGAAGAAGTCACACTGCTAATGTGTGGGTTTTAATTTGCTACTTTTGGTGGGAGATTTCTGTATATGTATTTCTGAAGGATTTCTATCCTTCAGTGGTATCTAGTCAAAGTGTAAAAAGCCTACACCAACAAAACAAACTATTCCACAACCATTTACTTAAATAGCATGATGTCAAAAGCTTCTGCACTGCAGACCATCAAGTGTACCTGCAGATAAGCTCCAGCCCCACATGAGGCAGCATCACTGCCATGTGTTGGCACCAGTATTGTGTGAAGAACAAGCTCTCCCACCAATGCTAATTCTATCTCAGATCAGTTCTCTGACCTAGTCTCCCAAACACTGGCAGCACAAGGCACAGGGCAGCACTGTCATCCTCTGTGTGAGCAGCTATTTGTGTGGGCTTAAAACATAGACAAAAATACAACCTCAAGAACAGAACAGTAGATTAAATTAACTACAAATACAATTCGGCATGGAAAGTCTTACCTCAGATCAGTTCTCTGACCTAGTCTCCCAAACACTGGCAGCACAAGGCACAGGGCAGCACTGTCATCCTCTGTGTGAGCAGCTATTTGTGTGGGCTTAAAACATAGACAAAAATACAACCTCAAGAACAGAACAGTAGATTAAATTAACTACAAATACAATCCAGCATGGAAAGTCCCATTCATCCCCCATTTCTCAGTTTCTTCCCTGAACTCTTACAAGTATTTAACTGTACAAACAAAAGGAAACCTGCTGAGTTACATCTACATTTCAGAAGTAAAAAACTACTTACACATTAATGCAGAGCTGAGTCTCTCTTAACCAAAGAGAGAAAAGCACAGGCAGCCAGATCCCAGCACAGAAGCAATACAACATACAAGATGCCTTCAAACTTACTCTGTGACTTATCACTTCATAGCTTTTTTTCCCCTAAAACTGTTTCCCAGTCTCCCATTATTACTCAAACTTAGCACAGACTCCCTTGGGCAACAAGGAGGAAGAAGAATGACAGCTATGCTGCCACTTGAATTTCCTAAACTTTCTAAAAATGTAACTTGGCAGTTCTTCATTTATAAACTGTCATATTTTAGTTGCTTTTCATTATAGCACAGAGAAAATTAACTCAAATCCAGAACTTAATAGTAAAATAATTTTAATTTAATCACATATGCCTGAATCCCATAACAGCCTTCACATTCAGAAGGGGGTTGGTGTTTTTTGCTCTGCTTTTAAGTGAAAAGGTCTAGTCTGCTATCTGCTTCCACTTCCTTACATTCACACATACATAATGTATACACACATGAATAAAAAAGCAGCACTGTAGTAATCACTAAATCAGAGGATGAAAAACACAAAAAATAAAAATGGAACCAAAGGGCTCAAGGAAAAACAACTAAGCACATCCAACACCATCACTGTTCTTTCTTCATTACTACACAGAGCAACAGTTGATGCAAAAAAAAGGCAATGCAGCTAAAGGAGAGGCTCCATTCTCTACATAAAAAACCAAAGCACAATTAGTCTGAACAATACAATCACTAAATCACTAACTCTGATATTACACAGCTGAAGCACATTTGGAAAAAAATTAACACATATAAAAATAGTAAGGATGCAATCCACACAAACACTGCAACCAAAAACCTTCCACACAATTCCCATCTTTCCAAAAAGTTTTTTTACTTCTCAGATGACAGTTCAAGTCTGGAAGAAAAGCATCGTGTGGATGCTTAAGGTTACACCAACAATTACAAACCTGCTGGCCTGGCACCATGGCCATGTAGAGCCACATGCACCAGTAGAGGCCTCCAGTAAAAAGGAAGCAAAAAACCACAGGGTAACTTGATACAACTTTCACGTTTAGTCAGGTGGCCCAGTCTGAGTGCAAAATAAACTACTGTTCTGAATGCAAAGTAGTAACCATGCAAGGAGCTAACTCAGCTCAGCACAGCTCCAAACCCACCTACACTGCACAAAGGCACAGATGAGGACATGTACACACATGCTGTTAACAAGACTCTGCATCTTCCTTAAAGCCTTGCATAAGCTGCAGAACCGAAGTGAAGTGCCCTAAAATCAACCAACAATGTAGCATTACATTAGCCTCCTGCTACATGAGTTAAAACTTCAAGTAACATTAGAAATCATCATGCTCAGTAATTATGCTTAGAGCCAATTGTCCTCAGTCCCATGCCACTTAATGCTCCCACTGGCAGAGCAGAGGGGGATAAAAAGGGGCTTAAAACCAGCACTTCTGTAGCTTTTAGGTGCCATAAAGGTCCAAGTGTCCTGCTTTAAAAATTTTACCACTGCTGGGAACTCACTGTACACAACATGGAAAGACTAAGAGTTCAGGATGACATTAGCTAATCAGTAAAAACAATGACAAATAAAGTCATCCCAGAAGCACAAAACGCACAACAGACACACAAGGCAACACTGATCCGTGGTTATCTCCACAGCCATCCATGACGGCTGTGCCACATCTCAGGAACGCCCAGTTTCGGTAGAAACACTTGAAAATTAAACAGAAAAACTGGGTATGCACAACTTTTCTGTGGACACAGAAGAGCTGTTTCCACTCCTGGTAAATCATAGAGCAATGCGCTAAAGGAGATGAATAGCTCAAGGCATTTATTTAGGGGAATAAGATTATGGTGATCCTACATATAGGAAATAGACGCTCAGGAACAGACATTCGTTCTGTTCAGCTGAGTAAAATGCATCAAACTCTGGGGGGTTAAGAACAAGCTGTTCAGCTTTAAAGTAAAAAGGAAAGTTTTAAAAGAGTGTTTATCAGTAAACATTAACTGCTACACCAGAGTAACAGTCACTGCAAGTTTGAAACAACCTCGAGTATTTCTCTTAGATAAACACTTGAGTCCAAAACAACGTGATGGACGGCAGGGAGTGTTCAATTCACTAGTCTTCTGAG